CAAATGTTTCTTGTGCAGTTATGTTGTTAAGCAAAACGTTACTACGGATCTGGGTGTTTCCTTGGAAATTTTAAAACCACCTAGTGCGACACACACCAAAAAAAAAAAGGTTTATAATAATAATTGTTTTTCAAAACTCCCAATGTTGATGGATCTTAATTGCATTTTGAGTCCATTCGTTGCAAATAAATGAAAAATACCTTAAGGTGAAAACAAATAGGTAGAACTAGATTATAATGATATCATGCAATGGTGCAGTTGTGCAGTTGTGCAGTTGAGCAGTTGTGCAGCTGTGCAGTTGTGCAGTTGTGCAGTTGAGCAGTTGTGCAGTTGTGCAGTTGTGCAGTTGAGCAGTTGTGCAGTTGTGCAGTTGTGCAGTTGTGCAGTTCTGCAGTTGTGCAGTTGTGTGGTTGTGCAGTTGTGAAGTTGTGAAGTTGTGCAGTTGTACAGTTTTGAGGTTGTGCGGCTGTGCAGTTGTGCGGTTGTGCGGTTGTGCAGTTGTGCGATTGTGCGATTGTGCGGGTGTGCGGTTGTGCAGCATGCAATGGTGCAATGCAGTCATGGTTACTCGTGGCATGGCGTAATGACGAGGCTGAGTTAACAGTAGAGCCTTGCTGCAACTATTCGTGTTCCACGGATGTGCGTGTTGCATATTCAAACATTGAAGGCGTTTTCGCTTTTCCCACTTCTTCAAAGATGTAAGGGACTAGTCAGCTGTAGCACTCTAATAACAGAGTGCTTATGTTGGGAGAGTATTAACAATTAGAGTACCAACATAGGGAGAGCGCGGGCATGTCAAAATATGGAGCTCTCAGGGCCCAAAAAGGCAGCGAACCTCCACAAAAAATGTCAGCACTAATCTCTAGATTCCAATATCAAACAAAGATGCGGTCATGATGTTCATAAATGAGTGTTCTTCCGCAAAAATGAGTAAATTTATGCAGAAACTGAATCAAATACATGCCTTACAAATGGCGGGTTGTAACAACTCTGGATAATTTGAATATGGTTACCCTAGATAATTTAAATTCATATGTTGGCTGCCTTTTTGGGTCCTAAGGGCCCCATGGCCCAACCTCAAAATTACCGACATTTCCGTTCTTCCCCTGCATAGGTACTCTATTACCAATTAATGACACGAGGTGACACGTATCTGAGGCTAATAATTGAATCGGTCATTCATTAAAAGACTCAAGCCGGCTCAGCTTAGAAACAGTATGTATCACTAGCTTCCCAAGCACATGAGTGTTTTTACGGATGAGCCAGATTCACCTCCTAATTTTAAAATGCAGCCCAATTATGTAACGTGTAATCAATTAAATTGCCCAATTAAATTTGGCAATAGCTGATGTGCCTTAGTTTTGTTCTGCTCAGAGCGGTCCAAATTGAAAATTTCTCAATAAAAAGCATCCTTCGAGCCTCATTTATTCAGAGGCGGATCCAGACATTTTGCAACACCTGATTTCCTCCATTCAAACCTATGCAAAATAATCGATTCATGTCGGAACACCAGCAGCCTGATTGTTGAAATCTTTTGTTTGTCGGGACGACATAGATGACATAGGTTGAAAGGCGGAGCGTGATTCGTCAGCTATGTCTTATTGCTGCTTTGTCGTGCCTTTGTCAGGTAGAATGGACGACATACTGTCGGAAACTTATGATGTGCCGTTAGCTTGTCGTGAGTTCAACCCTACATAGGCACAACAAAGCAGCGATAAGACACAGCCGACCAATCTCGCTCCGCCTTTTAACCTATGTCATCTATGTCGTCCCGACAAACAAAAAATTTCAACAATCAGGCTGCTGGCCCCTCCAAAATTCGATACATTTCCATAGATTTAAATGGAGAAAAAACAATGTTGCCAATTTGCTGGATCCGGCGACGTGTTTATCGCAAGAGGTCAAAATGGGCAGTTGGCGAATAGGAGTGCGGGTGGTAGGGAGAGGATCGGCGGGCGTTTGCGCGGTGCTGCAACCTGAAACGCACCAGCAAATGAATGAACGAATCAACGGGACTAATCATAATCGTACATACTCCTGCATCGTCCGAGATAATGCCCAGCGTCCACGCTCGTCAAGACAATCCTATCTGGCTAAATTGATCTGCGCTCTTCTCTCCGCTCGAAAACAACCTGCGTCTGTTTTTGTCGCAGCTCTCGAGCACTCGCCATCGCTCCAGAAAAAAATCCCTATTCCCAACATGTGTTCTCTCGAATAGTTCAATTGCTCGATTTGTGGTTTTGTAGTGACGTGATAATCGGACGTGATTCAACCCAAGTTGCTAGTTATCACTTCGAGGAGGTAAATTTTGACCTTTTTTTGGTTCCCAAATAGCATTTTTAATGTAAAAGTTGAAACAATGTTGGTATTAATTGCAACAAAGTTTCAACTTTTGGTCGGTAAGTGCCGATTTTCGGCGATCTGATCGGAAGACAAAGTTGCAACTTGCTAAGATTGCAAAATTGCTGAACGGAAGTTGTTTAAAATCTAAAGATAGGCAACCAGCAATACTTTGAAGTTGAAACATGTTTCAACTTATTTGCAGCTAGTTCCAACAATGATAGCTCCTTCGGGGGAGAGAGTAGGCAATCTGCGCATCAATCCATTAGTTGCAAGAATCAAACGATTTTATTGCAAGTTGTTGCAACCTCTGCTACTTGGGTTGCTTTCATAAGCGAGGAGCTGCGGTCTACACTATGCTCTGTTTAATCAAAGTGAGACCAATAGGTCAGTTGCGCTGGTCTCAGAATCGTGTTTTGATGCTTGATTCTTGTCAATCAGTGAAAAATATCAAGACCGGTCCAAACAGCAAGTTTCTAAGTTCAAGTATAACCGAGATATCGCGCTTTGAAGAAGTCGGTTTATGACGTCATCCACCTCGGTAGTGACACGCTTAGTTTCTTCCAACTTGCTTTTTTCAGTTAGGGAGGTACACATTTTCTCTGGATACTCCATGTGTAACTCGGATGAGCAAGGTGGGAGAAACGAAGGGTTATCACTACCGCGGTGAATGTCGTCATAAACCGAATTTTCCAGTGCTCGATTTCATATCGGTTAATTTTGAATGTAGAAAATTGCTATTTGGACAGATTCTATCAACATGTTATGATCCCAACCTTTTGACGGTCTGATTTTACATTGACCTCAGATCGATACATGCGTAACCCGTAGGAAGTCAATTAAAGTGATGTAAAATTTGTATTTGAAAAAAGTGCATATAATCAGCAGTAAGTATACGTGACCAACTCACTTTTACACCTCACGGATAAAAAAGAATGTTTGTGGTTCCTCACCACATTCCTGATTATGAATGATGAATGATCGCAGGAAATCTAGAAATAGTACTAGATCTCCATCAGTGTTAACCTCATACATTTTGTTACATTACGCCATCGTCTAACACCAATACATCAAAAATAAGTGTGGTTTCATCGAATTTAAACTCGTGGTGGGATATTAGCATATTTAATTAATTAACTTCGGTATGCTGTTACGAGTGTTACGGTAATACTGCGTCAACATTCCGAGTTGTATTGCAGATATTGGGAAAACGAGAACGAAGTATTTGAAGTAACTTTGAGGTCCAGGTCAAAAATTGAACTTTTCATTGTTTTTGTAAATTTTTTCACGTTCATTGCGACAGAATCGTAAGAAAACATGTGTCCACTAATAGGGAAAGTCGATGTTGTCACACATATCGTTATGGAACACCGTTGTTCACCCAAAGAAAGTATGTTTCAGCGGTAGTGATATACATTTGGTAATCACTGACAGAATCTGAACCGTAACTCTAATAGGACCGCGTTCAGCAGAAAGGAACCAAGCCACATCAGCTATCGCCACATTTAATGCAGCAATTTAATTTTTTACACGAGGACGTTTGTGCGGATTCCTTTGAAAATCATAAGGAATTTGCTTCGTACTATGCAAAAAAATTCACTAGAATTTGCACAAAAATCCGCGCAACCGTTTTAATGAAAAAATTAAATTGCCCAATCAAATTTGGCAACAGCTGATGTGGCTTGGTTCTTTTCTGCTAAACGTGGTCCAATTGCATTCGCCAAAAGTATGGTAAATTCTACTTAAGGCTGACTATCTTTAACCCTCTGTGTCATAAATCGAGTAGACTCACGATGGAATTTATCATACTTCCGGTAAAATTTGCCATATTTTTTATGGTGTATATATATCTGAATGGACCACTAGACAAGGTACGAATTTAAGCAATCTGATACATGTTTCTTAACCAGAATTTCACGTAGAACACGATTCACACTACGAAAATTACCAAAATCAACTTCTAACGAAGATATTAACGTTTTTATTTCGCACTGATTACGAGGAATTTGAACTGCCCGCTCTCAAGAAACTCAAAGCTCTACGTGAGTCAAATCGCGTACTACAACGGTTTCAGCAAGCTTCTCAATCGAGCAATGTTCATTATCCACCATGTGTTGTTCAAACTATTGGTAATTTGCTATAGCTGTGAGCCAAAGTGTCAAGATTGAAGTTGAAGATTTTTACATCGCAGAGACTGTCATGATAAACATTTAGCGCGCGATGTGAATCACGTAGAGCATTGAGTTTTCATGAGCGGGTGGTTTGAATTCACGCATCAAGAATCATTAAATATCTTCGTCAGGAGTTGATTTTGGTAATTTTCGTTGTGCGTATCGTGTTCTACGTGAAATTTTGGTCGAGAAACATGTATCAAAATGCTGAAATTCGTACCTTGTCTAGTGGTCCATTCTGCGGATTTGGTAACGTAGTGGCAATGTTGCTACAATCATTATTGCTTTGAAAGGTGAGTGTAACGTATGACCGAGGCAACTTACCCGTCTCGATCGTATTGAAATGAGAAGCTCTTTACCTCCATTTCACTTCTCGCTGAACTTAGGTTTCCGACCTTGACAGGGGCTGTTTCTCGTACTCCTCTTCCATATCATCTCTTTCAAGCGCCGAGTTATTGACAGTCGTCTTTTTGCCTCTATGTGTTTCAGATCGGCTGCACTTTTGGACGACTCGAAACCTGACGGACGTTCGGATGAGTGTCGGGTGGATCTTGATGTTTCGTTATTCATGATCAGGAAACGAAAAAAAGTGAACGATAAAGTGCATTTATTGGTGTTCCGCGATTCGTGGGATTGTTTATTTATTGACTAAAAATCGATCGTTAGTTGATTTAGTATCTACATCAATTTTAATCTTTTTAAATCCAGTGATGTGACTGCATAAATTGTTCCATTGTCCTCAGAATTTCATTCATTCAAGTTTCATTCATTTCCCTTTTACACCCACCGCACAGTGATACCACTCGCTTTTTTGTTCAGAGAAAGTCAATACCTACAACCTCCAGGAATAACTCAAGTGCTATTTATCGAGTTGAAAAGAATTTAAATTCAATAAAATTGGAAATTCAGTGACAAGTGGTTACGAGCAATTGTGATCTCTATCTTCGTGAAACATCGATTATGGGTGAGTTTATTGTTTTGCTTCACAAAATTTTATTTCCAGGACCTGTAATACAGGCTTATAATAAATCAGAATTGGACTTCATTTTGCAAAAGGAAATGGCAATTTCCAGCTCATCACAGAAAACACTTGTGCACATAGGAAACTAAAAGTACATACGTTGTTTCTAAACTGAGCCAGAAATTGTAGTTCCTAATTGCAAAATGCTGTCCAATTACAGTCATAAAACAAAAACGCGCTTAAGAAGAATTTCAAAATTTCGGTGCTTCTATTCTATATGATAATCAAAAATCTCCTCCTTAAATATAAATTCCAAAACAAAATAAACCGAATGGTTCATGCCTTATCTTATTCTTTCTTTTAATTGAAAGTCATGCACAAAAATTGTCAAAATCTGATGAGTCAAAGTATCACATGCGTTCCTCATCATCCAAGCTTGCAACTTTTTTGGGGAGAAATAATATAGGTTACATTTCGTCTCCACATCAATACATTTTTAAAATCAGAAAAAAGCGGGAGAAATAATACCTCGCAACAAAGTCTATAATTTATTCTAAGTCACATGTGGACACGATGGAATAAAAAAGCTCTAATGCGTATAGCCCAAGCTTTTCATCGTGGGAAAAATTAATTGAGGTAAAATTATGAAATTTTTTTGACAGGTACCTATCTAAACTTTTCTCTCCGACATGCCGGTTAAATTTCGTTGAGTGGATTGCAATAAAAGAAAACGAAAAAAATAATTTAAAGACTATGCAAGAAATTCTGCCATGCTAAAGATAAACGCCGTATGAACATCCGCGAGTTGCCGAATTTCCGCCAATAAAATGCCATTTTTTAAAGGAAAGTTATGAATGTACTTCCTTGAAATTTTTGGGCACTGTAGATTGAATTGCGGACGATATTCTGTGAAAAATGGGAGAAAAATACTCACCTTTTTTTAAAACAAACACGCATTTTATCGAAGGAAATTTTGCAACGCCTGATAGATCATACGGCGTTTTTTTCTTAGCACGGGTGGATTGCATTTCCAAGAAAGCAATTTTTTCTCTCTTTGATTAATTTGAAAATTCTTCAGAATGCTTTTTCTTGTTTTAATTGACTATTGTTAACAATGTGGGACAATGACAGAGAGGAAGGTCTCTCAAATTTACACTTCAGTAGCTGTAACCCACTGCTGACACCATTGCCGCGTCGTTTAAGCGTTTTTCTCGTGGTCTCAATAACGCTCTCTTCCATTCGCGGCCTTTAAGTAATTTTAACGTGTGTCTAACCTTCCCCTCCATTCTCTTGATTCATTTTATGCTATAGTCTAAAGTTCTAAACTTTCCATGTGCCGAAATGTGTACCTTTGGAGCCTCCTCCCTCCTTCCATAGGAGCTTTTTGATCTTGAACCCTCTTGTGAAAAACTTCTAATGATATCACAAAAAAAGGTTATTGCATGTGCTTAACGCGTGTTGCGTGTTTTTTGCCCACTCGGCCCATCCTACATTAAATCATTTACGAGCGAAAAGAATTCACGAAAAGACAAATGAAATGGAAAAAGTGCATAGATCCAAAGGAAAATTTTCAAGTCAGAAACTTCAGCGTTTTTTAAAGAAGAAGGTGATACAGCTAGGGAAATACCGGAAAATTTCGTCACATGTTCACAAATATCAACGCTTATTCTCGATCATTGAAGTTCCATCGATAAATCGCTCCGTAAAAGGTACACAATTTGTATAATACCAAATCTATCTTCATGATGAACGACGCACGTAAACATTTAGTTAATTAAACGTTATATTTTTTGCCTCACAGATGAGTAACGGGTAAAGTGACATATTTAATAAGCAATTCCCACTTCGAGTAAATTATTTAGCAAACTGCTAAACGCATTATTCATTGGTCATTATCGGTCAAAGACGAGAATTTCTGACCATGAGACACAGTTTATTATTTGCATTCTTCAGGTACTCAAGTAGCATAGATCGCAATAAATTGCAATTACGTAGTAAAATTATTGATATTAATGTCAAGTGTACTGTATTTTAACTGATTGAAGGGGCTCCTCTGATAGAAACTCATAGAATTTTATGTCATTTTTGTCCAGTGTATGGTCTTTAAGCTATCACATCCGACCAGCGAGCCGATTATTATTGAAATTTATTAACAAAGCTATAGGCAAAGAAGACAAAAGGGATATGAAGGGATCCTATAGGTGGAAGCGGGTGGTTCCAATGGACAAAGGAGGTAGGTGATAGGCTAACCAAAAACAACCCACGAGAAACCCGGTAGTTAGTCCATCATTTACCCCCTTAGTCTATAACAACCACCGATTTCAACCAATAGGATGGCTCCATATACTCCCTATGTCTTCTTTGTCTATCAATTTCAACAATTAGCCCGCAGAATGGTTGCTACTTATGTCTCTAGGCAAAGAGGCTCTAGGATTGGTTACCGGGAGTAGCGGCAAATTTTCTAACGGTGCACCTACGTGGACCCGCAAAAATAGATTCCATTCAACCTTAATCCGTATAGATTATTAGATTCTAATGCACAGAGCATGAATCTATTATACCATTTAAGTCGTCTGGGAAAATACTACCTATAGGTTCCAATACGTTAAAATTAGGGAAAAACGAGGAGGAAGAAAAAAAGAAAACATTTATTAAAGTGGCTGACGTATGTTAATGAAATATTCTTGGATGGCACGAGGCAAAACGGAACCATTTTTATGGTATTCTCCGTTAACTGGATTTCCTTTTTGGAAAAATGCCGTTCGCGCGTTCAATCAAATCCGTGATCCCGACAATCATTAGGTTTCGAATGAATTGAGATTCAAAGCCGCCTCCACAGAGCGCACAGCAGGCGGCGGAATTTGGCAAATGTCACGGGATTCGCCGAGCTTTACCGTGCGGATGTGTTCGGTGACTCGTTGTCCGTTCAGATTCGGCATTCGCACATCATGACATTACCCTAATCCACGGCTCATCGCTTCTTGACACGAGTCACGAGTCTAAAAACGCATGCCCTTCGTCTATGGAGCGAGTAAAACGGTGATAGTTTCCTCGGTCTGGTAGATCATCAAGATGTCGCATACAGGCGTGAAGACGCGAAGAAAACCTCCACTAGGGATCCAAAAAGGAGTTTTAATAACCCAAGTAGCATTTTTCAACAGAAAAATCGCAATTTGTTGCGATTTTGTCGGCGATAAAATCGGTAAGATCATCAACATCTGAGCGATTACCCTCGATCTTGTTGCAATAAAATCGCGATTTTATCGCCCGGAAATTTATCGCAATATTATTGCAACAAAAATCGCGATACATGGCGATTTAATTTCGATTTTATCGACGAGAATTGATCGCAATTTTATTGAACAAAAAATTGCGATGCAAAGCGATTTAATCGCCATAAATCGCAATTTTTTATTCGATAATATTACGATAAATTGCCACCGATATAATCGCGATAATCAACCGATGAAATCGCTCTTTATCGCGATCACTGCTACTTGGAAAGGGAAAATGGAATCCCGAGCAGTTTTGATACTTGCAGTTGATGACAATACTTATCTTGCATCTATGTCAGCCGGCTCACTGTGGACCGAGTCAGTAGGAGAGGTCGGACAAAATGTGAAAACTTTAAACTCTTATAACGCCGTTTACATAAAACTTTGGGGTTCTCAGAGTGATTCCATTGGTTTATTCCATTATTCTGAAAACACCCCTTGTAATTTAAAATGTGACGAAATAAATATCAAAATTTGCAGTTTTAGTAAAAAATTTCATGTCCGACCTCTCTAATGGACTCGATCCACTGTGCGGCTGTTGAGTTGCTTGTATTTGTGAGACACATTGCTCGACTCCTTTATTAACAGTCGAGAAGAAAGTGCCCCCATTCATGGAGCTTTTCGATTCGTCGATTTTTGAACTTGAAGTTAGATAGTAGTCAAAGCAGGTTAAAACCAGACTTCATTCGCTTGCAACGACGTGCTTCAATTGAGGGGCGTTAAGAACAAGGGGCGTAAGTGCAATTTTTGAAAAAAGTTGAGATATTAATGATTTCAAGTAAAACTAATCTTAGTGCACATTCTGTAAAAAATTCGCTCCTAAATTTAAATTTTTAAGCATCGAAAAGTCAGTTTGAACTTTCTTTCCGCCAGGAGGATCCGTGTAATTTCAAAACTTCAACCGATTATTTCTCAAAATTGCAAAAACTGCACCTATGCGCCTTGCTCTCCAAGCTTCTCAATTGTACTGAAATTAAATTTGTGGTTTTGAGGACCCTGGTAAAAATTGGCGATAGGGGCTGCGTTTCAAAATACCACATGAGTAATTATAGCCGACTGAAGAAGGCGATAGAAAATCATATTTCTGGCTGTAGAAAGTGGAAAAAATCATACAGCCGGGCTACACGAGGCGATAAAAAATTATACAGCCGGGCTATAGTTCCTATTGCCGGGCTTTACACTTTATCGCCTGGCTGTTGCTTTTTCGCCATCGGCTATTAAAGGCTATAAGAAACTGTGTAGAAATTCGTGTGCTTTGTAAATCCTTAAGTTTGTACGGAATCACCTTAATATTTACAAAACGCACATTATATTTTCCTTCAATACATATTTTTTTTCATCAATTAAAATGAGAATAATCCATACAGAGTGTGCAAAAATTTCAAATTCATGAGTTGAAAAACGCTGACTCCACGAGATTAAATATTAGAGCCTAACACAAAGAGGAGCGGCGGCGTATTGGCGCCTACAAACCTAACAGGGATACTTCACGCATTGCGCAATGCGTGAAGTATCCCTGTTAGGTTTGTAGGAGCCAATGCGCGTTCAGCGCTGGCTGCCCGCCCGCCGCGCCGCAGCGTACCGCGGCGAACCGCTACGAAAGTAATTAAGTCGAAACTTACACGGAAAGTGGTTGAAAACTTATAAATTACATAATAAAACTTGCTCGGTCATAGTTTAAGAAGTAATCCAGTGCCTCGAGGGTATTTAAGGGTACTATTTCAAACA